TGGTATTCTCAGTACTCTTCTCCAGGACCACAGCTCAAAGGAATCAATTTGCTCTTTTTTACAATTGGTTTCCATACAAAATTTTAATACATTGTGCATTTACATACATTGTATTTCACACAGTATTTTGTTTACATTAAGTTTCATATGCTCATTCCCATACATTGTACTTAGAAAAATTAATCACAATAGATCTATGCCCACTATCACCCCATCTTTTCAGGTTCTCACTAGATCTTTCCTAATTCCTTTAGCTGCCTCCCTCTATTCACCAAACTCTGCTACCTTGTGTATTACCCTCTCCTTACTCTCTGCCTCCCTGCTTCCCTCTCCTGGCCCCTTTAAGATGTTACACACATCTTACTAGTTATCCATCTATTTTTAAAATAATATTCTTATTCAGTATTTGTCCTTATGAAACTTAGTTCACTCAGCATAATGCTCTTTTGCTTCTCCTGTGTTACACAGTATTTTACAAAATAATTGTTCTTGCATGATGCATAGTAATCCACTGTGTGAATGTATCATGATTTCTGAATCCATCTGTTGATGGACCTTGGTGGTTTCCATTTTCTTACTATTGTGAATAATGTTGCTATGAACATCAGTGTACACTCAATGTATGATCTTCATTTCTGTCTCAATTCCAATTTCCTTAGGTTATTTTCCTGCTAGACTAGCTGGGTTATATGGAATTTCTATATTCAACTTTTTGAAGAAATGTCAAACTGCCATCCATAGTGATTGTATCTCTCAACAATTCCAACAATAGTTCATGGGAATTATAATCTCTCCAGATGCTCTCCAACATTTGTTGCTTGTCATTCTGTTAAAATTGGCACTGCAACTGGAGTCAGGAGGTATCTCATTGTGATTTTGAGTTGTCCTCTTATTTCCAGTGGTTGTGAACATTTATTCATATGCCTGTTAGCCACCTGAATGTCTTTTTTTTTCTAAGTCTTTCGAGATCTTTTGCCCATTTTATGGTTGGGTTATCAGACTTTTTCTTGTGGAGGTCACACAGTAGTCTGTCAACTTTCAATATAAGACTTTTGCCTGAGATGTGATTTTCAAATACGTTTCCCCACTATTTAGGTTTCCTTTTAACCTTATTGGAAAAAGTTCTTGGGTTTTGTTTATTTGTTTTTGTTTTCTGGTGGTATTACATTTTATGTACACTAGGACTAAATCTTTAGAATATTCCATTCATCAATGTTATCCTCTTCCTGTGTGTGCCTTTATGGTTGCATTTTCCAGCCTACTGATATTATAGTTAGGCCTTCTAAGTTTGGTCTAGAGTTTGCTTCATTTTTTATTGTTATTATTTAGAAGGAAAGTTTACAGAGACTTTAGATTTCCATTCACCCA